AATAAGGTAATAAAATAAGAAGATCAATCTCCTTTTTAATACAGAAAGCAATTAAACTTTTTGTAATATGACTAGAATGATTATTTATAATCAATAATCGAGGCTGATTTCCTAATATTTTTCGAGATTCTGGTTCAAAAACCTTATATATTCATTCAAAGCCATGACTATTAGAAGTCCACTCACTATTGTTTATTAAGAAATACCAGTTTGGAAAAGTGTTAGTTGGAATCCATGCAATATTGGTATTCTGAGCCTTGAAAATGATTATAGAGGGCAAAAAGCCTCCATCTGTATTCACACATTCTAATACAATTATCCACTCTTGCCTTCCTACTGTAACCTTCCAATTCGATTTGAAAATAGAATCCACGATTATACATATTGATTCTATTTCTCCAACTGCATATCCTATCTCATCCATATTATATATATTCTTGAGTTTATAATATCGTTCTTCGATTTGTGCTTAAAATATTGAAAACTATATTGAAATTGTTTTAAATATAGTTTTTTTATGCCTTACAAATTCTAATTTACAAGAATAGATTCTTTTAAGTTTGGGATATCGATTTAAGAACCTATAAATCCATCGTTGATCTATATAATTTGACTAAAGAATGAAGGGGTAAATGATGACATGAAAATGACACGTTGATTTAGAATTTCTTGGACTATTTCTTTTAATAACCTAGGAGTTGTAGGGTATCCAGTAGCTGTTAATCGTAAGATCTATTGTACTAGAGTTTTCTCTTCCGTGTTGGAAAGTTTTTGAAAGGATTTGTGAGATTGAGAGTGTGATTGTCGTTTAGCTATTCGATTTATCAAGGTTGACTTCGGAATTTTAAAATGAATAGCAGCATTTCGAATTGAAGTAAATTCTTTATTTTTTAGACTTTCTATAGCCTTTTGAATATTATTTTCCGATTCACTATGATTTAATAACTTTCGATCCATTGTGTGTTGAATAAATGTGTAAAATAAAGAAATGAGGGAGTGATTTTGACCCATATCATGACATGACCCACTTCTAGTCAAGTTACGTTACAAGAATATAATAATGATGAGATGCGGATATATCTTAGGATCTTTCTTAGATGATAATATGTCCTGTTTTTTTCCGTAGAATTTTATGATTGGATTGTAGATCTAGATATTGTTGAGTTCTTTGTTTGAGTTAACATTGAGTTGATTGAATTGTTAGGGATTTTTGTTAATAGTATTCGCTTCGTTCGTCTCATGGTGAAAATCATTGGATCCAAGAGGAGTACAGCTTCCTCGAATCATGAGTCTTATAAATAGAGGAAAAGATAATAGTGCTTTTGGATACATTTTGAGTTGATCGATCAGTTGATCGATCAGTTGATCTGTTTGTTGGGATTCTTGTGTGAGACTTTCTATCTGTTATACTTTTGTGGTATATAGCTTAGAGTGTCCTTAATATATGTAGAATTTCGATTTTGGTTCCGGATACGAAATAAATATTGGGAATATTCCATCTTGACTACGATATTAGATGTAGAGCTTGGAATGCACGCAGTGATATATATCTACATAATGAATGAGAATGAGTAGGATAAAGATAACTAAGAGATTCAAGTGCTGGCAGCAATGGTACATGTGTACCAGGAACTTTCAATATTCGATGATGCGTGGCTTTTTCTAGGTCGACTAGATATTGTGAACACCGTCATTATATCCGTAAACTCGAGTCTTAAACTAGCTTGTCCTCTGAAAATAAATTCACAATCAGCAGTCTCTTATTGTGAAAGCAGTCCGGACGATTACAAGCTCAACGTTCGATCAAAAAATCTTGCTTGACCGTGCCACAAGTTTATGCGTGCGCACTATGTACCCAGAACTGAAATTCAAAAGTGCCAGAGTAAATGATGACATCGGAGCAAAGGTGAAATCAAAAGCTCTCTAGTATGCCTGGGTGAAGTATAATGAAGAGCATATCTAAGCACAAGGAAGCGTCCCCACGATATCGAAGTGTTAGAGATTGAGAAATCCGAGAACTGTGTGGTGGCTAGTGGCCAATTCCGAGAATGTCATCGAGAAGAGTGATCGGATTAATTATACTGACCGATGAGGAGGATAAAAATTCCAATCCGAGATTTCGGTAAAGCAAGCTTTATTTTGTGAGTACTGTGTTTGATTTGAATTGTTGTTTTAGTGTATGCGGATGGTAAATTAACATCTCATACTGTAGAAAGCCTCGATGGGCGTGCAAGAATGCGAAAGTAACAATTAATGCATTTCTCACACTCAGAACAGCAACATGTAAACTCACCGTCGAGAGTGAATGGTACCTCCTTCTTCTGAAGGGACAAGTGCAGTCAATATCTCATCATTCCTTTTACCTGAATTGCCCAAGTAGTCTTGAATCTTGGACAAGATCGTCTTCAGTCGTAGTTCAGGGAGAATTACGAATCTGGATTTGGCGAGCCAGAAGATTCCAATAGTGTTGATCTACCGTGCAATTTTCAGCATTGTTCTCAACGTTCTCATGATAACATCTTCAATGATGTTATTCAGATCATTCTGCTCTCAAAGAAATAGCATGTGACCGCGTCATTTGATACAAACCCCCTGATTTGGGGCGTAGGGGAAAGCAACATGGCTATAGATCACACCTACGGTTCCAGCCATATCCAAAAATTCACCAAGAAATATGCGAAATTCTCCGCGAGGGAATCGTAAATTGTCCTCATATCCTCGTAAGTTCCTCTTCAACTGAGCCATTGCTTGAGTGCCAGCGTCGTTCCCCGCAACATGTTCTCTAGGTTTCATGCTCGTACTCGGGATTAGAAAAGACATTACTGACTTCTCGAATGTAGGGAACACTATTTCTTACTAAGACCCGCTATATTCTCTTCCAAGTTACTTCCTGTAGGTTGGGACAACAACGGGACTTTTTCATTGTCATTGGAATCTATAGATCAGTATAGGCAATAGTATTTCCCGTAATCAATCTACAAATCAGTTTAGTGATAATTGTTGAATTTCTTTGAAATATTGTTATATAGAATACTAAAAGCTGTATCACTGAAGATATTCAATATATAAAAATATTTATAGAAATCACATATTAACCTTTAACTACTATATTGATATATAAACACGCGCCATAGTTTTACTGTAGCATACTATTGCCTATACTGCTACAGGTAGAATCGTTAAAAAATTAGGAATGCAGATCTATAGTGTAGAAAAAACGAAGGAAGGCGCATGCAACCATCGTCTATACGTGAGAGGGTGTTTTCAACCCCATTTTCCTGTTTCAGCAGTAACCAAAATCAACAAAATGGACTTAGAAAATCTATATAAAAGATGATTCAAGATATGAACGACTGTTGCAACGTAAACAGGTGAGGTTTATCATGAGCCTAGTAGTAACTTTCTGCCAGGTATGCGACTCTAATAATAGAAAATGGCGCACATCTTGCAAACAAGCGGTGCAGGCCATTCAAAATTGACGATAATTATCCGAAGATCGTTGGCGGCCGGTACCGAGGCCGGTAACGAATAATTGGCCAATCACCCTAAGAATGAATTTTGAGGTCAGATTTGAGTAATTTGTGAGGTATGTGAAAGTTTTGACTCTGATTATCACTATATGAAAATAACTTTACTTGAGATGTATCAAATATTTTAACTCTCAGGTTAAAGTTCTATTTATTTTTGAATAACAAAATAATTGATTGAAAGAAACCCATGTTTCCACCATTTTACTGCTATTTTTAAAGAGGCCTGGCTAATCATTCCTTGCCGGCCGCGGGAGAGTACCGGATGGAATGGGAAGAAGAAGTTTTCGAGACCAATCCTTTCTCTTTCACGTGTGGTCGCATTAGTTAAGGATGAACTCGAATGGTAATAACAAATGAGTTGATACTTACTTCTCTGTGAAGAAAGTCAATGGACAATAACAAATTTGAGTGAGAGGATGAATGAATGAGATACACATCATTAAAATCTTGGTTCAAACGCATGAATAATTACTCTTAAATACACCAAACCCGAGTCTCCGGGATTTATTCTTGTTTGAATTTGGGAAGTCAAGATAAATCGTTTCTTTTCCTTTCAGTGTGAAGTATGAAGCCAAGAACTATCGGAACTACCCAGGGGAGGTTGAAAAGTTGTCCAGCAATGACCCAACTCGCAATTACGTTTTGAAAACAGATGACCGACCATCAACCTTTCAAAACCTTACCACACTTATTAATTATAATAACATGATAACAAAGCGAATCACGATTTTAATTAACCACTCAATCTTTCGGGATATATCCAACGACCAGGAGATCGCAACAACATCACGGAGGCCGACAGGTAGGCCAACCAACTGAGTGGTGCGTAATTTTCTGGATCTTTCCGGCCACGATAATGTGCTTCACTGGAAGATTCTTTCTAGCTGAAACTATCATCATGAATGAGTATCAAAGCTATCAAAAGTGTGGAAATCTAGACCAAATAGTAGACCATCTAGCCGATTCCCAGTTTTCATTCAACAATGAGCGATGGACCGACTTACTATCTGGTCTTAAACAAGCACGCATCAAACCCCGGTCTAATGCTTAGGTCATTATCAATTCAGATTGGAAATCTATTTGGGGATTCGAATGGTCGTTGACCAGGGTAGCCGTGTTTTCTTTTGTTGGAAATCGTGCACATGTCCATCAACACCACTCAGGCCGGTGAAAGGTGTCGAAATTCAATTAACAATGGAGCTTCTTGACGTAATGGCTGTGTTACTACGTACATTATGGTGGAGCTAAGTGATCGTGAAAGGTATATAAAAGCAGGATTCCATCCATCAATAACCACATCATCACAACAATCAACTCACAATCACAACAACTATTCGCTAGTTTAGACGTCTCAAGTTACAACCTTACAAACCACACGTAGTCATATATATAACAAGAGTCATCTCTTCTCATACACAATTTATTACGGACTAAACGAATCTACAAAGTAACCATTCAGATTCAACCAAAATGTCAAGTTCAAAAGGAGAAACACCCGAGGCAAGAATTGCTAGGCTTGTAAAGTACGACAATGTTATAGCCTACAATACATATTGCAAGAAGGTAAAGGACAATGAGAAACGGCCAGAGGTTGTGAGATATTGGAAGGCCGTTAAAACTTATAAAGCCAGTGAAGCCAAAGAAGAGGTGGTGGACTTCGTAAAAGCCCGAGGTCGAAAGGCTTCAAAGGAAGTTCTTGACAAGATGAGGGAGGGAAAATATGTCAAGGAATTTGAGGAAGCAGGAAAAACAATGAATAAGCTCGCCGACGAGGAACACGTGAAAACCCACCGCGAGGCTAAGGAAACTAAGAAGAGAATGGAAGAAAAGAACCTCGAAGTGGTGCAATATATCATGGCTAGACAAAGCTTGGAGAGCAATAAAGAAACGAATGAGGCCAAAAAAAGTCTCCTTCAACCTTCAGGTAGCTCAACAGGGAGCACGCGAAATTCATCCAATGGTAGCGATGGAAATGGTAGGCAGACAAGGAAGGCTGAGGAGGAACTTAAGTTCCCCAAAAAAGCATGGGGCAAGGGACCCCCAAAACCAGAGGATTTCTTCGACAACCTTTTACCCGCGGCAGATAAAGGTCCTAGAAAGACACGAAGAGAAGGATCGAGAGACAGATCGGCTCCCCAGACAGATTCTAAGTCTTCAGCATCTGCACCCAAAGAGATTGAGCCCAAAAGAAATAGTGGCAAGAATCGCAGAGCAAGTCCCCATACCGACATGGAACGAAATATGGGTAAAAAAGGGCAATAAAGACGTAAACGCAGGAAAAAGCAAGGCGTAGGCTGCTCAGTGGAAGTTACCATAGTTGGGAGACAGGGGAAAGACTGCGGGCTGGGCACTAGGAGTTTCAGTGTTTTGCATTTTTTCCTATGCTTCATTTTAGAATCCAACTCAAGGTATTCCAAAAACATTGTGCAATGTGATTTACAACCTTTGAAGCCTGGCATACATGATCAGTGCATCTATTGTAAAATATCTGCTTTTCCAATTTGTGATCATTTTATTCTCGTGATAACTCATAATGGTGAAAATTAAGGGCAGCAAACACACTCACCTCATACACCACAACCGTAACAAATGACACCTATCACTTACATAAGTTTGAGGTACTTTCAAACTCTTCTTCTCCAACACAATAAGACAAACATTCTGACTGGAAACGTAGCATGAGATAGGATTGAATTAGCAAATGCTGATCGGAAGCTGCAGGCAGAATTAGCGCAATCAAATAAAGTAATCATGCTTGCTTTTCTTTTCTTCCCTCAGTTCAGGATCATATATGAAAATCCCGTAAATGAGATGTAACGAATCGCCACATCAATGATTCGATATGGATACCTGATGTATTTTCTGATGAGCCATCGTTATAGATACCCTCCAATTCGACTAATCGAACATGTGCTTGATAATTTTCTAGTCCTGCTACTCCGCGTGTCACACTTTACAACCTTTGTATCAATGCGATAGACATTATCAAAATGTTGCTCAAGAATAACTGGCATGTGTCCTGATAAGAGGAAAAGGAAATGCGAGAGTAGCAAAGACGACGCGAACCAAGCTAAAAAACCGTCCGAGGATTGAGAGACTGTCTCAACTGCGACATTAGCTATGACATCGATGTAGTTCTGTGCTCACCTAGCCAGCCCTATGTAGAACGAACGCAAATTCTTAGTCCGCTTGGAATTATTTATATCCACCGGTTTTTGTTACAACCATAAAACACTCTGCTATCGAAATTGACCTAAAATCCGTCTTCTTCTTCTAACTGTGAGGCAAGGCCATATTATCATAGAAATATCAAAAACTAACACTCAGCAAAAATATCCTTTTGCACATTGATAGATAAGGGATTGTTTGAAATTTCACATCCTTTGAGACTTTCCCATATTCATATCTTCGAAGTCATTTGAAAAGGATTTAGTCAAGTTAAAACACTCCGATATACGACACGACTTTTGTTGCAAGCCGTCAAGTATGGAATTCTTCGAATTCCCCATGTTTTACATTAAGATCTCCATCTTCTCCAAAACTTCTCCATAAGAAAGTCCGCGAATTGGAAAGCCATCATATGCTTTATGATTGTAGGAATATCCTATCTCTTCCAGTCCCGAGTCGAGAGCTTTAGAGCTACAACGACGGACTACTTGTGACATCGAGATATTAGTTGGAATGGTTTTTGTGAGATATTTGTGGGGACCCCAGTATACTTCCTGTGAAAAACAGTTACCGTATCTCCAAATGGGGTTCAGAATCAAGAGATCAACGTCTCAACTAGCCCCAACGTATTTCCGGTGAGACAAAACCCACTTGGGCAGATCAACCGTTCTTCGAACAGGTTGTTGAGGGAATTCCTAAACTCAATAGCACGACGAAAAGTTGTTAGAATGAAAGTATAATAACGAAAGGATTTTCAGATTTTCAGATTTGATTTGACGTGTCCGATATTTTACATAGCTCCAACATTCATAGACACTGACCTACAAAGCCTTTCACTCTTCAAGTACCGAAGGAAATGTGGAGATAAGAAATAGGAGGATCTTGATCGTAAAGCTAAGAAACTCATGGAATCGAACTATGCTAAACCGCGTGAGAAATGGTTACTACACCATGTAGACTTTGTGATGATTATCTGATGGGCAATCGATATATTTTCCTCTTCGATCTCGCAAAGTGTGTAGCAATGAGAAAAATTGTATGAATATAGATCAGCCTTACCTTGTCAGTGTTTAAGTTTTACTTCAGCCACCAAATCATGCAATGTCAATGTATATCAAATGCTACAATTGCTTAGTACACTGTCGATACTTCCTTAGTCTTGGATTCTTAGAACCATGAAAGATAGTGGACGATCCTCTGGTCCCAAGTGTTGCTATCTGTAGCCAGTATTGTCACAGATGCGAGCAATAAAACACAATGGTTGCACAAGATATTAAATCTATAGCCAATATCACCTTTTCAAAGTAGAATTTGGGAACCATAATTATTAGCTAGGCCAGTCTATTCGTAGGAGAAAAAACAGGCCGAATTTGACAATTCAAATTTTCATCGAAATCCTCCAACTATTTAGAATAAAAGATAATTTATAAATGATTTATATAAATTCAAAAAGACAAAAAGAAATTTTAGCTTCTTATTGCTTAGATAATATTTTGAAATTTAATTTTATATAATATTGAAGGAGAGTAATTGAATGATGTTGTATTGTAGAAGTGGTCGAATCCCGCCTGTTTTTTCTCCTGCGAATAGCCAGTGATAGCACATCACGTGATACGCCAAGCAGTTCTCCACTCTTGGACGAAAGCAATGGCACACGATTGGCGGGTTCGTATCTTGGTGATCTTGCTTGTTAGGAGATCAATAGGGAAATTGGTTTCTGAGCTGAATAGAGTGAGGTCGCCATGCCCTTCTCAATTTCATTCAGAGCTTGGCATTTCTTGATACAAACTCGAGACGCTTATTCCCGTCGAGGTGATGCATGCTTGTAAAGTGACCTCGGATACGGTATACGGTATACGGAATGCGACATACGGTATGCGAAGCTTTTGTTTTCAATGCCAAGGATTCCAATTGGAGGTAAGATGAGCTGGACGAGCCACTGGGCGCGAGGGGGTAGTTTGATAGGAAGCTGCTTTATAACGCATAAAGATACTGGCGAGAGACTGGCTGCTATCGATGGTGTGGGAATCTTGCAATGTTTTTTAAACAGCGTTTTTCGTTCGAGGTTTAAAAAGATATGTTAATGGACTTAAAGCCTTCTTGAAACGAACCTGGTTGGCCTTTGGTAATAACGTCTTAAAATAACGTCTTGAGATAGCGATCTTCCGTAGAAGCGGCACGACGCTGTCAATATGACCATATAGGGATGGGCGAATTATATAATTTGGGGGTCGATTATATAATTTCATATTATCATGCTTTTTGAGGCATATAAAATATTATGTTAAGTTTATGCACATGTTTTTTGGGCCAATAAAACTATTAGGATAAATGAAAGTGAGTTATTTTTAGAAAAAGTTTTGATAGATTCTAATCTTCAATTTAGTATATGTCACGGCGCCAACTACATGATCTGTAGTTGCCTTCGTGCCTCAGGCACAGCATACTAGCGCGCCCTACTTCCTATAAGTAGGGCTTCACTCTTCCATAGCTCTTCTACCCTTATGGTACAATATAAGTCTTTACCCGTACCTTGACAGTTTGTACCATCTTCAAATAAGCTATCACAGCTTTATTTCTTATTTTATTTCCAAAGCCCCACCGACGTCTTGTCCCGATCGCGCCGATCGCACCCACCGTTGATCCATTGTACACCCTGCCGCCGATGTTTTGAGCCTCAAAAAGTGCCGAAGATGGGTGAACAAGCACCTGCACCAGAAGCGCCTGCATCTGGCTTACCTCCGCAGTTCCTTTTCTTGAACCACGTTCTCAACTCCGCCGAAGCCGATATCTCTCCCTTTACAGACCTATTCAATGATCCAAACGCTGCACACTTCGCTGCCGCTCAAGCCGTGTTTGAATCGATCGAATCGATCGCAGGCTCATTACAAGCCCAAGCTGCCGCTGCTCAGGCCCAAGCCACCGATGCTCAATCAAAGATTGTCGAATTGAAAGACACAATTGAGACATTGAAGATTGCTGTTCGCAATAATTCGCAAGCTTCACCTCGTCGCAAGTATCTCGCCGCCCCCGAAAAGTTCAGTGGTGATGAGCAAGATATCGCAAAGCGCCAAGATCAGTACACGACTTTTCGTAGCGCAGTCAATCGCTGCTTGACCGCGGATTACGAAAATGAATCAGAGTTTCAGAAAATCACATTTCTTGCTAGCCTACTTTCTGGCCCTGCTTATACGAACAATCAGATACACTTTGATACAATCACAGACAACGCGCATGATTCCGACCTTTGGCCCTCTGGATGGCGCACTGTAGCAGGCATCTGGCGTGAATTAAACAAGCAATACCAGACTCTAGATCTCTCACGCAAAGCTTCCATGGATTACGATAAATGTAAAATGAAGAAGACCCCATTTGGTAACTTTATTACCGAATTCAAGCAGCTCGCTATCAAATGCAAGAAGACTGCCGAACAACAAGTCGCTGATCTTAAACTCAAAGTCTCACAAGAACTAATCGATGCTTCAGTTAACCGCCCCAATAAACCTTCTGCCGCCGACATCGACGCGTGGGTAGTCTGGTGGCAAGGCATCTACGATGACTTAGAGGAGAAGATTCATCTTGACAATCAACGCAAGAACCAAGGCACCAACTTCAGCGATCAGAAAAAACCCAATGAAAAGAAGCCTGCTATCGCTGCTGTAATACCTACGCCTGATCCCTCTGGAGATCCTATGCAACTGGATGCTGCTCGCCAAGGCCAGCGACCCTTATTACGTTACAATAGAGAACAATGTCTAGATCTTGGCCTCTGTCTTTATTGCAAAAAGCCCGGTCATATCAAATTCAACTGCGAAGAAAAGCGACGCAACGATGCAAAATATAATACCAACTCAGGAACCATACAATACCCCGATCGTCCCCCTGCTACGAACCAACACGCTCCGAATGTCCACCGTTTTCCCGTTACCGATCACCATCACAACCCCGGACCCTATCGCAACGCTTATAGCCCTACTTACCAGAATACATTCCCGCCTGCTAATCGTTTCCCGACTGCCGCGGCACCATTTCGATACGCCTCTCCAGTCCCCACTGGCAGCAGAGATCTGGGCGGATTCGTTGAAGGCTCCGTA